GAACTGATACCTGAAGAGAAAACCTCCTGCATACTTATGGATGTATAGTGTCTCATTGGTGTCTGCTTTGATATATTCTGTGGTATGTTCTATTTATCCCAGTAGGCAAAAGTTAATTAAGTAATCTGTTGCTGTTTTGTAATTCCATCTGGTTTTCTAATTTTTTAATAATTAAAATTGCCACATTAAAAATTATACAAATATTAATCTATAGGTGTGATGACATATTGAAATTAACCGAGAATCCTATTCTTATCATTTTGTAAAGCACCAGGTTAATTGATCCAGACTGAAAAAGTGTCATATAACCCCCTCTCAGAGATCCAGCTGAAATGTTATTCAACAATTCATAAAGAAATTTCCATTCAGGTCTCTGAAACAGTGGCTTCACTAGCATTCCCACTGGTCCTTCATTTGAAAGTACTTCAGAATATTTCATTTGTTTAAGTAAAGCTTACTTACAGAGTAATTTGTTCTAACATTTATTTTAACTCTTAAACTTTCCTATAAATTTGAGTATCTAATGCATGTAATGATTGCAAGATCTCCCAAAATTATCATTTCTTATTATTTTCTATTTTAGTGTTAAACATTCCATAACACCTAACACTGTCAGTGCTATGCTTCAGCTCATCCTGTTTCACAGAAAAAAGGAAAATTTGAACTGCAAGGGTTCAAAGCACATACTAAGTAGCTCTTTAAATCTCAGTAAGATGAAACAATAAATCAGATAGGTGTATCACACACTGAGATTGTTGAAAAAAAGACCCTTACATTTGCAAAAATGTATTCAGACATTAAGAAATTCTGGAACTGCAGAAGTGGAATTGTAATTTCACTCCCATGTGCATACATATAATGACATGGTCTTATTTAAATGCCTGCTATGTTTCTCAGTGCACTCTATGACGCATCGAATGTAGAGAATGCAGGCTATTCATAAGAAGCAGGTATTCCATATTTTTCTCCTACTTGCTCAAATTTTGTTGCACTTTGTTACATACTGTCCAAACCCTGCTCAGAAGACTTTTTTTTTTCCCCATGGACTTTTCTTCCTTACCCATCATCGTTATACTTGAGGGATACATACACCTTGATTTATTTGTGTTCTGAGCATTCCTATGAAGGGAGACAATTTTCCAGAGAAGACCAATGTGAAACTGTTCTTCCTTTTCTTATAATTGCCTTCCTCATTCTCAACAGCTTCTGCTGCAAATGACATAGATGTCTTGTAAGTAACAACGTCCTTCATTGCACCATTATAATTTGGCTTAAGATCAAGTTCATTTTCTACAAATAATGTGCGTGATGGAATTCTGGGGAAAAACATAATACCTCACTGTATTTTGAAAAATTGTGGAAGCCAAATTAAATTTTCACAAGCTGAACAGAATATTTGACTTTGCAAACTTCACCATTTTTCCTTGGTCAACGGAGTTCAAACCATAAAAGTTACTAGACAAGTATCTGAGCCAGCTGAATAGTTGAATCGCTAGTTTGCCATCCAAATGTGGACAGCAATGGAAAACGAAGTGGTGAGCCAGTTTGCCAGTGAGCAGGGAAGAGATTTTCTTTACAGAAGAGTAAAAAGGCTTCCAAGAAAAAATATTTCTATATTCTATTAGAGCACCTCTTAGATAAGCAAAAGAAGCTGTAAATTACAACATCCATATTTTTTATTTGTAGAGAATCTCTAAACAAGACTCTGCAAGCAGTTGTCCTGAGCTGGCAGTATTTCACACAGTAGGTGAGTGACTAGAGCATGCAGAGTACCCCATGTTGGTTCATGTTCCAGCTCACAGACCATCAAAGGAAAATTTCACTTTGAGTGTATACAGTGGCTGAAACAATGGCTATGTTATTACTTCCTGACATCAGCAATGATATAGCTTTGTATAAAGACAAGATTTGGCATCCACCTAGAAGGTATCTCAGCTGTGCAAAATCATAGTGCTTACAGCCATAGTATTAGCCATGAGGAGGAGAACTGGAAAAGAGCACAAATTCAGCTCAGATTAACATTTTGCTCTCGGGGAATTTATTGCTTCCAGGGAGGAAAAAGAATAGCAGCAAGCACTGTTGTCCAGAGTAAGATCATTGGAAACCTTATACATGTGCGCCTTTTTGCAGATAACTACTTGAAGCTTGAAACCTAAGAACTCCAGAATTAAATGCTACTGATCGATAATGTAACATTCACCCTAACTCTCACAATTTAGACAGAGACTTCAGGAACTGATGTCTGCTACTACTTTTCTTTAAGGATATAATGGTAAGTTGGGTTTGGGTGTTGTTTTTTGGGGTTTGGGGTTTTTTTGGAGGAGAAGGAGGAGAAGGGAAAAATGTAGGAGGGGAGGAGTGTAAGTATATTTGGAGCTGGAAGCCATTGTGCAGCGGGAGAGATATGACTTAGTCGCCATCACAGAAACATGGTGGGGTGATTCTCATGACTGGAGTGCTGCAATGGATGGCTATAGACTCTTCAGAAGGGACAGGCGAGGAAGGAGGGGCGGTGGGGTGGCCCTGTATGTTAGGGAG